TCGCTGCGTCCCCGCGTGGCCGCCGGCGCCGGCGCCCGGGGGGAAGGGGTTGACCCTCCCCCATCACTTGGGAGGGAGGGGTCGGAAAAGGGGGGTGGGGGGGAGGGGGGTCCCCTTCGTTTTGATCGACGGCGCCTAGTTTGTGGGGGGGGCCCACCCCCCGGTTCCAAACGCGCTGCCGAATGTTCCCAAGGCAAGCGCCCGTGAAACGCGTTCTCTCAAACGTGGGAATCGCCTCGACGGAGCCACCGCTTGAGGGAGCCGCCGTTCCTCCACTTGGTCGAGCGCCTTCTGGTCGTCGTACAGTTCGTCCATTGTCGCTGTGCGTTTCGCTGGCGTAATATTCGCCACGCGTGGGAGCCGCCTGCGTAGGAGCCGCCAGGGGGAAGCCGCCGCCGTACGAGCCGCCCCCCTTGGTGCGTAGGGGCCGCCTGCGTGGGATTCGCAGCGCGCACGAGCCGCCTGCGCAGGGGCCGCCGCCTTGTGACGCCCGTGGGGGCCGCCTTGGGGGCCGCCGCCGTGGGAGGCCCCGCCGTGGGAGCCGCCGCCGTGGGAGCCGCCTGAACGGGGGCCGCTCCGTAAGAACCGCTTCCAAGGGAGCCGCCGTGGCAACCGCCTCCGTGGGAGCTGCCCCCGTGGGGGCCGCCGTGGGAGCCGCCGCCTTGGGAACCGCTGTGGGAGCAGCCGCCGTGGGGCCCGTCGCCGTGGAGGCCGCCACCGTGGGCGCTGCCGCTGTGGGAGTCGTCTCCGTGTGGAAGCCGCCGCCGTGGGATCTGCAGCCGTGGGAACTGCTGCCGCGGTTGTCGCGGTGGTAGTTAGGGAGGCAGGCCTCGAGGAGTCGCCGTGGTGGGGGCCGCCGCCTTGGGAACCGTGGGAACCGCCACCATGGGAACCACGTCCGTGGGAACCGCTGTGGGAACTGCCGCCGTGGGAACCGCTTTCGTGGGTGCCGCCGCCGTGGGGGCCGCCCTGGTGGGAACCCGCCGCTGTGGGAACCGCCGCCGTAAGAACCGCCTCCGGGGGAACCGCCGCCGTGGGAACCGCCCCCGTGGGGCCCGCATCCGTGGGGGCCGCCGTGGGAAACGTCTTTTTGGTAGCCGCCTCCGTGGGAACCGCCGCGTTGGGAAACGCCGCGGGGGTCGCCGCATTGGGAGCCGCCGCCGTGGGAACCGCCGCCGTGGGAGCTGCCGCCGTGGGAACCGCCGCCTGAAGCGGACCGCCCAGCACCGCAACTAGTAACCGCAGCGACCGGGGCCGAAATTGAACACCACATACAAACCGAAGGGGAAGAGGACGCAGTGGCGCCAGATGCATACGCCCCCATAAAGTACCTGTCGCCGATGCCGCCAGCGTGCGAGGAGCACCTGGAACCCGAGGGGAAGATGTAGGTGGATGCGAACGTGGGCGTGAGCGTGAACCGTTGCACCGCCGTTGCCAGACAATCCGATCAGATGCAGCAGGCAAGCGATGTATTCTGGTCGCGTGGGCGGCGAGGGCACGGGCGGGGAGGCGACCGCGCAGGTGTGCAGCACCAGCATGGAATTCGCAGTGCGCTGCGGCGGGTTTTGCTGCACCCCGCCGCGTGCCGCAGCACCTGCGATTGAGACAGGAGCGACCTGTCCCAGCCACTACAGGCCCGGAGGAAACGAAACGATGATGGTGGTGATTGTGATGATTAGGCTGCTGATGGTGATGGTGATGGTGATGGTGATGGTGATGGTGATGGTGATGGTGATGGTGATGGTGATGGTGATGGTGGTGATGGTGATGATGATGATGATGATGATGATGATGATGATGATGATGATGATGATGATGATGATGATGATGATGATGTGATGATGATGATGATGATGATGATGATGATGATGATGATGATGATGATGATGATGATGATGATGATGACGATGATGATGATGATGATGATGATGATGATGATAATGTTATTGCTGCTGGTGTTTGTATTGGAGATGTTGATGGTGAAGGCGGTAATAATGGTCGTGCTGGTGGTGCTGATGATGGTGGTGTGATGATGCTGTTGATGACGATGATGATGCTGGTGATGATGATGTGATGATGATGCTGACTGTTGCTGATGATGATGAGGAGTGATGATGAGTGATGATGATGATGATGATGATGATGATGATGATGATGATGATGATGATGATGATGATGATGATGATGATGATGATGATGATGATGATGATGATGATGATGATGATGATGATGATGATGATGATGATGATGATGATGATGATGATGATGATGATGATGATGATGATGATGATGATGATGATGATGATGATGATGATGATGATGATGATGATGATGATGATGATGATGATGATGATGATGATGATGATGATGATGATGATGATGATTATGGTGGTGAGGATGATGGTGGTGGTTTTCTATGATGGGGATGATGCTGCGGATGATGACGCTGATCATCGGGTTTCGCGACTGCGCCGCCGAGTTTGGGGTTTCGCTGTTGTGTCCGCAACAAGCAAAAGACCCTGGGAGGCAGGCGATCGAATCCATGCCCCGCGTTCCTGCCCCTTCCTGCTGTGCTGTAGCGCGCGCGGTCTGCACGAAACCCGCGCCGCGCGCTTGCAAGTCGTGTGGCTGCCCCGATGTCGCCGCAGAGGGGGATAGTCCACGTGGGCGACACAGACACGTGGGTTCGTCTGCACGGGCATTGGCGCGTCAGTTGCCCGCGTACGGTTGCACGCCAGCGCCCTCGTGTCCAGTTTGGCGTGCCGCGCTGGCGGCCAGCGTAAGCCGCGGCGTCAGGTCGTTGTGTCATCTCGCGTCAGGCCCGTATTATTTTTGATGCTCGCGTCGCCTCTCGTTCGGCGTTGTGGGGAGCGATACGAGCTGCGGGTGCGCGAGGTAGCAACCCCATTCCGAAATGTCCCAGGCAGGCGTCTGGGAACCTGCCGAGAGGTTTCCCAGAGGCATCCAAGACATTTCTTAGAGGAATCCAAAACATTTCCAAGGCTTGAGTCCTCTGACGCGACATCCTTATTTTCGACATGTGCCTCGTGCTTATTTGCTATTGATTGTGCTCGTTGCAAGTTTTCGCGTGCATGATTGTGCTTTCTGTGTGCGTTCGCCCTTGTCCTTCTGCACCGCCAGCATCATCGCCAAACATACTGTCAGAGTCGTTCAGGGTCCTGCGCAGCGCCTCAAGAGCGTCGGGCTGGAGTCCACGGCGGACGACACACAGTTTTACTGAAGTCTGTTGTGAGCGTTCACTAAAAACGAACTTCGAGTCGTAGTTTTGGAAGTGTACCTGGATGAGTATCTTTTGAACCAGAGAGCACGCTCTTCGCAGGGGTAAGGCCGTCCCCTAAGGGGGGGAGTTTGGAGGTTGGGAGAGGAATCGCGCTAGAACACTTCTTTCCGGGGCCCATTTCGACTACAATACGATTCGATTTGGATTTCATGGTTTCCGATTCTGGTTCGATTCGACTTCGGATTCTGCTTTGGACTCCGATCTCTCATCGGAGGCCCACTGGCCAGCCGATTCCCGCCGACCAGACTTCCCCCGACTTGGCTGCCGATTTCCGCCGCTCCGCTTCGTCTCGACCGCCGACCAGACTTATCCATTCGCTCTGCTCTTGCCCTCGATGAGAACGAGGGCCCACTCGGGCCCGCAGCTGCTGGGGCCTCCGGCGACTCCGACTCGTTTTTTCTTGTTTCTCTGCATGCCGGCGTCCCCACCGCCGTCAGACCGCATGCATCGGCTACACGTAAGAGTGACTTTTCGCCGGAGTGACCTTGGGTGCGGGCCCAACGGGGTCCCCCGATCGCCGAGCGCGATGCGGTAGTAGCGTTTTGCGCGCTCGTGTTTAGTCCCCCCGCGGCCCCCAAAAAGCCGCGCACCAAAGGTCACTCTTACCCAGGGTCACTCTTGCGTGTAGTGGAATGCATTTGGTGGAGGAGAGCATTCGAGCTTAAACGAGAATCCATTCGACCTGCAAGAGGCCTTGTCAGAGGCCCCCCTGGAGGCCCCCAAAAGGCCCCCAGAGGCCCCCGGGCCCCCGAGGGCGGGGAGAGTGGGGGGGCGGAGCGTTCCGAAGCTCCGCGACGGCCGCGGCGGACAGTCACACCAGCCGATGACGAGGACGACGACGACGACGAGGACGACGAGGACGACGAGGACGACGAGGACGACGAGGACGACGACGACGAGGACGACGAGGACGAGGACGACGAGGACGACGAGGACGACGAGGACGACGAGGACGACGAGGACGACGAGGACGACGAGGACGACGACGACGACGACCCGCAGTAGTCCTTCCCTTGGCTGCGGTAGGGCCGGCTCGAGGCCGGCAGCGCGAGCCTCCACGCAGGCCCGCCGTCTGGCCAGGAGCAGGGTCGGAGGCGTGGCGCCGCGGCGGGAGGAGGCCCCCGCCCATCGGCCCGCCGTGCCCATCGCCCCGCTCCTCTGCCCCCCCGGCATCGGCAGAGGCGGCAGTGCTGCTGCTGCCCCGGGGTCGATGCTGCCCATGGGGTCGACAGCGACGACAGCGACGACGCAAAGTGCCAATGCCGATTGATGACGGCGACGGCGACGGCGACGGCGACGGCGACGGCGACGGCGACGGCGACGGCGACGGCGACGGCGACGGCGACGGCGACGGCGACGGCGACGGCGACGGCGACGGCGACGGCGACGGCGACGACGACGACGACGACGACGACGACGACGACGACGACGACGACGACGACGACGACGACGACGACGACGACGACGACGACGACGACGACGACTGCGTGCATGGCGCCGCACTCCCCCGAAGAAGGGTCGCAGTCGGAGAGGTTCGCGCGGTGTTCGATCGCGACCCAAATCGACCCAAACATTCCTTCGCCCGCGGGGAGAAGCCACCCTGTCGCCCAGAGCCTGAACGTTCCCGCTCTCCCAGGCCCATCGTCCCAAGCCTATCGTCACAATCCTATCGCTTCTGCTCGCCTCCCCACCCTGGCAGCTGGGCGGCGCCCTGGTCGTCCTGCTAGTCTTCGGCGTGAGCCAAGCCCTG